GAGGGAGGTAGGGCTGCTAGCTACCTACAGAGGAGATGGGGAATCGACGAGAAGATCAAGTCTGAGGTTCCCTGCCTCAGACTCCCTACTATATATACTAATACAATGGTGCACAGACCAGGTACCTATTGACCATCGTTTGGTCAGAGTTCTCTGCCTCATGTCCTACCCTCTGACCTGCCTCATGGTGACCTTACGACTAATACCTGAGTCGTGCTGAGTCCGGACTCCTTCCAATGAGTAAGCGCTCCTGCTGTCACATCAGTCACCTGCCAGTGAGTGAGGATGGGCGCTCCTGGCCGTCACGGGGTCTGGGGTTCGATCCTGGCCCCTCCACTTTCCAATACGAGTTGTCCGCGGTCAAGGTGAGCGTCTGTCCCAGTACACATGACCCTCAGGTCACGTGGCACGAGAAAACTGTGACACCACGCTACCAGACGAAGGAGCTCCCATCGGAGGCCACAGCACGAGTTCGACGGGCGAAAACAATGAACGCACACACCCAACCTTCCAGCACCCACAAGCCGATCGCTTTCAATGTCCACAACACGTACAAGTTCCATAGTCTCGGAGATTATCCCGATTACATTGAGCGCTCCGGGCCAGCGGACAACTATAACACTCAAGTGGTGAGTACAGTCTCACCAACCTCTATCTCAATCACAACCCCCTCTCCGCCGTTCCTCCTCAGAGAGCGAAGCTCCGTCATCTCGAACTCCTAGGTCTGACATAAACGACTGCTGACAATTGCCTTTCAGGGCGAACTCGAACATCGACACGTCAAGCGGTTCTATGCTCGAACCAACCGGGTTGCGTACGAGATGCAGATCGCCCGGAAAGAGCGAAAGCGGTCACTCTTGGCCTCAATCCGGGCCAAAGACTCATTCCAGCCTCTCTCCGCACTCAAGCAGGACAACAAACGCGCCAAGATTGCAACCGCTGAGGCGCACTCACGGTCAAAACTCTCCAGCTCGGGAACACCTCTCAGCGGTGCACCAGACCCCTCACCACCATCGGAGCATTACGACATCGAGAAATCCCAACGGGATGGCTTTCTGATAAACTCGGGGCTGTGAAGACAAAGATTAGATCCGACTAGAGTCGAAGCAAGATCTTCAGTCAGTAAGGAAAGACTATATTGCAGCAACGAACTGTACCTAGAGTCGAAGCAAGACTACAAAGGTTAAGTAAGTAACTACAAGTTAGAGGTAGGTGTAACGAAGTACTCACTCTTCAGTCAGTAAGGAAAGACTGAAGAGGGAGGACGAAATCTGAAGTCCTTATATACTACAGAGAAGTGTCCATGACTAATCGAAGAGTGGTTAGTCACATGTACCATAGTGCGATGAATAATACAACGACGAAAGAATTGCGACATATCGCACCATAGGATGAGTAAGAGATGAGTAAGGCATAGACCTGTCTAGACCGTTCTGGAGTAGTACGGATTGTCCTAGACAGTACCAGAAGAGTCCGGAAGCATAGCTATAGTACACGAGCAGAGAGTCCCAAATATGGTAACATACTACATAAGCGACTACAGCTAAGCGG